TAGATATCAATAATGCCATGCAAATTTCCTATTGTAAATATAAAGGTGCAGAAAATTAGGTCAATCCTCTGTAAAAAGCACACTATGGAAAGGAAGCAGCCTATTTAAAAGTAGAGCCAACATAGCAATAGCATGAATTGAGTGATTCAGAAAATTTATGTCTTTAAAGAACCATTTTAATGATTCAGTTTACTCAAAAAAACTACTCTCTACATCACTATTTTGAAGGACTATATGAGGGGGAAGTGAAGGCACAGACTGCAGGCTTAGATTTAAATAAGTTGGAAGACTAGATATTGCAATGCACCATGCTGTGTGTATCTTTTTAACCTTGAACTACTTTACATTTTTATTACATCCACCTCTGAGCAGTGTCTTGTTATGCCAGGTCTTTAAGCCATTTATAATGGCATCTGCTCACAAATCATTATTTACATGTACACAGGACCTTAACACCTACCTCTTCCCAGTACAGTTTGTACTCCTCTGACAAGGCTGAAAATTGTGATTCATCCGTAAAACATTTTAACAGTAGGTTTTGAAGCTTTGAATCTTACGATCACCTCAGAGTCATGAGAAGAAATCTTCAGTTATCACAACAAAAGCTCCTGACTCCAATTTTTGTTGTTACCTTAGTTTTAAGCAGAACCATGGATTTACATTTGATGCTAAGACATTGTAACCTCTGTTAATAAGAAAATCTGGAGGGATATAATGTAAACGTGTATTTATTCTACTTACTTTTGGATTAACTTGGATTGTAGTACTATATCAGTACATTCTAAAGGAAGTTCACTTAATAACAACCTAAATCCCATACCGCAGCGGGAGATTAACCAGCACTTCATCATTAGTGTGGTGACAATTAGGGGTCTATGAAAATTATAAATCCTTCATTGGGAGGTTTAACCAAATTGCGGGCATTGATTTTGCGTGGCAGTTTCAAAGCCTCATCGGTTTGTTTTAAAGTGCTTGTGGTGTGGATATTAATCCAGCCATTTCAACACTGTTACTTTTTTGAAAGAATAAAGATAATCTAACACCAATCCATCCATTTCTAATACCTTATCTGCGTATGGTTGCAGGTAGTAATGCACGATATTAAGCATTTGAACTGATACCGATAACCAATATTTTTTTGCTTTTCAGGACCGATACCGATAAATTCATATTCAGTATAATCTTTGCATAATCTGGGGTTTTTGGGGATACAGCTCTGAAAAAAACAATTATTTAGCAGTTCTAGCTTACCAAGAGGTTTTGATTCAAACACAAAGAGCATCTCTAGAAAAACAATTATTGAACCAATCTATGGTTGTACTACAGAGGTGTTTGTGAAATCCAGTATTTTTTTAATATAAGATTATATGCATTAACAGTTACTAAGTAACAGAAAATGTCATCAAAAATAGTGCATCCACAAAAATATCCACAGGAAAAGTCGAAGAAAAACGGGCATCTCTTGAAAAAAATGTCCAAAATCTGCAGACGTATTTGTGGAACAAGTTAAATGAAATGATTAAACATGGAATTAGATGTGCCAACACACATGTCAGCCTCTCTGTATTCTTGCTGAACAGGTTTTAAAAATAAACACACTAGTGAAGACATGTTTACTCGTTAACAGTCAGCTAATGAAGGGTCCTGTTAGTAAGGCACGCAAAACCCCGCTTTAGGTCTGCTCTGCCTGAATAAAATTAAACCAAGTTTAATTGATTTATCTGCTCGGAAAAATGTACCTACTGTATCGGGCGGTTAAAAATCAGCCAAATCTGCTGATATTTTATCCGCCCGATAAATATCTTCCATCCCTAGATGCAGGGGCGGGTGTGTACAGTATAACTCCAGTGGTGTCTGGGCAAGAATTAAGGTACGTATTGGACAGTCCACCAGTCCATCACAGCCCAACACTCCCTATAATAAAATAAAATTCCAGAAAAGAAAAAGAAACAGATATACGTGCCTACAAACTTCACGAGTCCATGGAACCAAACTATCAGTGTCTCTCACATTTTGATTGTGGCAAGGTTCTAAAGACTTGCACCAAACACCTTGAAGTTTAACAAGTTAGGCTGCAAAGTTGATTATGTAATACATGGGTTTACCTTGCAGTTACATTGTTCACAGTGTCGGTTTTATTCAATATATACTTTTATGAAAAAAGTTCAGGATTGATATCCTGCAGCCATGATTATGTTTTATAATTCAACCACATAAACACTGAGTGCAAGAGAATAACTGATTATATATAAAGCACTTTTGTTTCCTTCTTCTCTGAGTGCTTTGATGAGCTGACGCAGCTTATCACAAAGACAGTTTTTGCAGCCGTGGTTTGCTAAAAGGCTGGTTATGCATTGAGTGGAACAGAAAATGCAGCATCGTATCTGGGCTAATTTGTATTTGCTGCAAAAGTGAACACACGGCCGAAGCTGCATGTTAGCAGCACAATAGAAGCAGCTCCTGTCCTCTGTTAGTGTCTGTACTTGATCACATTAACCACAGCCCAGTGTTGTGCACTCATGAATGCATGAGACTTTCAAGCCCACTGCACAACCCCATGTGTTTGCAAAAGAGACTTAAAAATAACCAAAGAGGCATCATGTTGGTGCAACACATGCAAAGCAGAAAATAATCACAGCACTGTTGAAAATCCTGTGTAGATCTATAATAACACAAAAAATAAAAACAATATAAACTGAATCCAATTCATCACATCATCCAACTATCAATTTGTGCTTGACTGCAAAGCTGTTATGCAATTATGTTTTTTCAAACCTGTACATCGTTACCCACTGGGGTTGTACTGAAAACCATTTTGTGTAAAAAAAAACACTGTGTCAGTCAAAATATATATATATATATATATATATATATATATATATATATTTTTTTTTTTTTTGCTGCAAAGTGGTAGATTCGAAAACATAGGATATCTGCAGCATTATATTTGATAACCCTAAAAAGAGGAGAATGTTCTCGTACTCATAGTCTTTCGCTTTATCCAGTACTGGGTCACGGGGTCAGTAGTCTCAGCAGAGTCTCCCATACTTCCCTCCCTCAGACACCTCCTCCAGCCCTGCTGGGGGAAGCCCAGGGGGCTCCCATGCCAGCCAAGAGACATAGTCCCTCCAGCATGGCCTGGCTTGTCCCCTGGGCCTTCTCCATGTGGGATGTGCCTAGAACACCTCCTGAGGGAGGTGTTAAGGGGAGATCCAACAAAGATGTCTGAGGTACCCAAAATGGCTCCTCTCAATGTGGAGAATAAGCGGTTCTAATCCAAGCCTCACCTGGTTGATCAAGCTCCTCATGCATTCATATGTCATATCAGGTTAAACTTATTTTGATCATATTCTGAGTTTAAGCACTGGAGTCCACATGAATGTGGTAGTTCTCATAACCATGTCAAGCATCATCTCCAACATATCAACGGGGAAACTACACATACATTTTAGCTGCCACAGTTATTATAGAACTGAAAGTAAAACAAGCCAAATGGAATTTTAAATGCACCTAAATACATTTTAAAGCAAATAAATTCAGTTTTAAACGCATAGATTCATACTTTTAATTTCATACACAATTTCTCAGGTTGGTAGGTTATAGTCCAGAGAGGCAAAATCTGCAGTGAGCATCTATTTATGGATTAAAATGCCTCATTCAATATTGTCAGATTTTAAGATAAATGTTTTAGGGGTATTTAATAGGCACACTTTAGGACCATTCATTCCAACTGAACATTGTTTAAAGGAGAGAGCAGCCAAGTATCAATACACTGAAAACATGTTACAAGTGGTCGGGAGAATAAAGGCTTAAACATCACAACTGAGCTCGGTACTGGTGCTGACCGAGGTCATACTGTTCCTTCATGACCATTATGTACAGTACCTGTCTTCTTTTGGCCACAAACAACCATGTCAAAAGGCTCAGCATAGAGATCTCAAACATTTTTTTTTGTCAACTTACTATAATTTAGCTGCCTAAGAAGTCACCAAATCACGGCCCAATTGGGCATTTCTGGGAAACGGTGGAAGGAAGGATTGCTATCCTCAATATGTGGATGTCAAACATGCATTTTCTTCTTTTGGTCCTGTGCAATATTGTTATGTGATAATGGACTAACGATTAACAAATGTTTTGACAGTTATTATTATTTTTTTTTTAATCAACGTCCTGGATAGTTAAAGCTGGTCTGGAGGTAAAAAAAGAAATTATGTCCTTTTAATACCACAATGTATCTGATAAAGATGTTAGAAAATGTATTTATCTGCCATTTTAAGGGATTTTGCTCTGGATGCATTTACTGACAACTTTAGTGAAGAAAGAAAAGTCAAGTAAACTAAATTAAATATTGCAATAAAATAAATTGTTATCTCTTAAATCCTAAAACAGTGATAGTTTTGTGATTTAAAGGAATGCATTTATTTTAAGTTCAGACGTTTATGTTACTGTGTATACACTAGGGTTGTAATTAACAATTATTTTACAAATCGATTAATATAAAAATTATTTCTTTTATTAATCGATTAATGATTGTATAGCCAATGGATCCTTAACATTTTTTTTTATCAAATTAAAACAGTTGAATATTTTTTTCACTTGCGGAGTTCTGGATAGTGCATATTGACAGAAAAATTGTTAAATCCAAAATGTTTCTTTATTTTCTTAAATCTTGGTATAATTACTCCTTAAGTGGGTTACTTTGTCAGCTAAAGACATGTTTAGAGTCTCTACACTGCAGTTAAGGATTAACTGAGTACTAATTAAGTGGATTATTTCAATAATCGATTAATCATGATTCATCCGATTAATTGTTTCAGCCCTAATATATACGTACACTATGCCCCCCCAGGTCTTTCGCCCCACTTAGGGAACCACTGCTCTAAAGAAAATCAGTATTAGTCTCTTGAGAATCTGTCATAATAAAATGATAAATCTTCTTGACTTTGAATCATTTCAGCTGACTCTTCTGAGTGCCACATAACAAATTTTGAAGGGTTAAATCTGTTATAACATGTTTTTAATATCAATTTATCTACAAAATCTTGTTTTACACCACTGCAATTTTAAGTCATGGATGGTGCACAGTCACTAAAGCAAATAAACATATAAAAAATACAAACAAACAGAGAATACCATTTTAACCATAAAATGTCTAATCGTTTAGCATTGGTACTTGCAGTATAAATTAGCAGAACCTTGGGAACAGGATGGTTTAACTTTTTGCAGTGGATTCTGAATGTCTACAGCAGAAATATTGTTTTGAGAAACAATTGTGCATTTCCTCAAAGTTCCAGCCCATTTTTATGTAGTACTTAAATGGGCAACGATAAATTCAAAACAGTCAGATAAGTACATTCTTCAGCTGTCCACAGCTGGATGCCTCATGGTTAACTTAAGAGTTTGGTAATCCATAGAGACAAAGCACATGTGTATGCATCTGCATCAAGGATCTGAAAAGTTTTGTTCACAATTTACATTGAGTTCTCTTTTCAACTAGCTGTTAACTACACAGCTTAGTTGTCTCATAAATGATCGAATTAGGCAAACGTGCACTGAAGGCCTGCAAGGAGGCAAAAATGCGAACCACCTCACTTGGAGTTAGTTTAAGCCTGTGGCGGAGAAGACAGGCGAACAGGTCCATTTTCTGTTGACCAGGAGGGGAAAGCCGATTAACACGATCTCGTATTTCCAAGAGCTGAAGGATTGCTGTGTCCTGGGAGCCCTGGGTATAAGGATAGTCCAGTTGGAGGATCAAATCACGGATTGCCTCTGGGTCAAAGTGCATACTGTAGCCAAAGACCTGGATACTGTTGATCTTCATGTAACCCAGACTCTGAGCAGGATCTGTCATTTCAGCAGGTTCATAATAAACACTGTCATTTGCTCCATCTTGAGTCTTTATCCTACTGCGAAGGTAGATGTGGATAGTTTCAAAAAACGTCTTCCACTTGTTACCCAGTGTCAAAGTCCAGTTGTAACACTCAAAGGGCAGGTCCAGCTTGGTAGCCTTCCAATCAGGAAAACCATTTTCATTAACCGGAATATACCAGCTCTCTGAGTGGCTCCCTCCAAAAGGGTTGATGTAGAGAGTGAGAGCAGGCTCCAGGGTGCTGTTCTTTGTAAGGCAGACCTGAAGGGATATTCCAAGCAGCATATGAACCATGTTGGTCTTGTATTTGTTGCTTTTTAACGTCAACAGCATCCTCTTCCTCCATGATGGGTCAAACCAGCTGTTGAGTCGCATATCATTGCTGATAAAAATGGCATGGACCTGTGTGACAGAAAAAAAAAAAAAACATTAGTTAGGTTTAAAAAAATGCATATAGTATATTGAATGGGTGCTACATTTAACATATCCCAGCAACACTTAGCAAAAGAAAAAATATTAAGGCAACACATTTTAGCAAACATGCTGAGCAAGCTCTGTGTTTTCTTAATCTGGATGGTAGCCTTTATAATACTGCAAGATGTTAGATTTAATAAATATGAGATGATTTCCTGATAACTTTTTGGAATTTTTAGTCAAATATAAATTGTAAAGCAAGAACTGATGGGATTCAAAAGTGTTGATGTAACCATGTCTTACAAACTTACATCTAGGCAGAAAGTCTTTTTGATCTTGTTTTGAAATTGAAATACTAAATAAGATTACATTCTGTTAAATTATGCACCTTCTTTTGATAAGATTCTGCTCAAGATAAGTGTGATAATCTGCAAGAGCAATGAGACTTCTTGTTTTGAGAATGTAGAATTGATCATAATTTCAAGAAGTTGTTCGACAGTAGTAGATCAGAATATTTCACAAACTGCAGCACTGCAAACAAAAGTTATATTGTCATTTTATTTAGCTAGAAGCTGCTTTTTCAAGGTATCTATTCTAAGCAAGACAGACTTGTTTAGTTCTTACTGGGGATTCAAAAGGATTCTAAAGCCAGATGTAGGATATATTTTGACTGTGAGACAGAGAGCTATTTTGAACAGGAAAGTATTCTTCTGGAACCTTCCTTTCCACTCTGGATGCTACAAACAGAGCCACACACTTGGTAAATGACTTCTACAACAGCAGAGTCAATAGAGCTCTCACTCAGCTACTACATGTAAGGCTACAGTCACGAAAAATAAAAGGTTTGAGCATAAAAATGTAACTAATGATTCCCTCTCATTTACTGTGAACTATGCATTGGGTATAGCTCACTCTCAGACTGATTTTTACCAACCAGTCTGTGTTGGTAAAATATCTTGTTCTATAGTTTTGGGGAGACATCAGGTGAGGGAAGAGGTGAAATGGCTTTGATTGTAATTCAGAAATAAAATTATTATCAGATTACAGCACAAACAATGTAAAACTGAAATTGTTTATTTTCAAAATAAGAGGAAGTCTGTAACATGCCTTAATTAAAGATTAATTAATAAGAAATTAATAAAACTTTAGACATATCCCAATGAGAATTAGCCACAAACAAAGCAAAACACCTTGCTAAGAAAACTTTTTAGGGATCTGCAAGGTTTTGAAAGTTTTGTTGACTATTGCTTTGGCTCAGAAGCTTGAGAAGTTGTCTTACAACTCTAAAGCTTTGAGTTTGCTCTGGGCAAGGAATTTAACAAATTTTTTTCAAACATATCAGTGTGTAAAAGGGCTTCAGTGTAAAGACTAATAGTAAAATCTGAAAGATAAATTCAGTTTATTATTATAGTTTTTTTTATTTACGTAATTTGCCTTCTGGGAACAATTAAATAATGTTTAATACCTCCAAATTGGGCATTTCACCCCATTTTCCCAAAGATAGTTGTAATCATCATTCATTTAAGTAATCTTTTTTTTTTGGTTGAAAGTTTTTCCATATATCCAAGGCACTTCACCCTTGGCTATTAACCGTTATGACCCCTCCAGTGCCTGTTGAAGTCACAGCTATCACACATTTTTCCAAGTGATGAAGTCTAACTGAAAACATATTAACTGGCTACAAGAGTTTGAAGAAAAGCTCAGAGTCTTTGTTTTTTGCATGGTCTTTGGAGTAAAGTTGCAGGAAACATTCACTCCTGGCAATATTGGTAGCTGGCTTGATTTTTATCCACTTGTAAAAGGTCTTGAATGAATAATTAAGCACCAATAATTGGTGCTCTCTGATGCCTAGTAAAATCTAAAATAGCCAAAAGTGTTGCTGTTATAAGAAAAATTAGTTTCGTCCTGGATTACAAATCTTTGTTTGTTCTGTACAACACACTCATTGTACCACATTTAACATATTGTGTGGAAGTTTGGGGGAATACATACAAAACAAATTTACAGCCATTATACGTTTTACAAAAGAAATCAATCCGAATACTACATAAAGTGGGATACTGGGAACACACAAACCAGTTATTTATCAAATCAAATATACTGAAATTCTGGGACCTGGTAATATTTAGAACTTCTCAATTCATGTTTAAGGTTCGAAATCAAAAACTTCCACACAATATACAGGAAATGTGTGGTGACAGAGAAGGGGGTTATGATCTAAGAGGTGAAGGATACTTTAAAAAACAACACTTTAAAACAACCAGAAAGAGTTTTTGTTTATCTGTGTGTGGAGTAAATGTCTGGGATGGATTGAATGATGAGTTTAAAAAAATTCAAAATGCAAACCAATTTAATAAACTGATTAAAATCGAGCTCATTTCAAAATACGCTATATGACTGTTTAATAGTCTATAATGTAATTGATGACATAAATAGAACTTAAAATAATTGTACATGGCTAAACATCATGTGGAATGGAAACAGGTGTTTTTTTGATGTTTTGACATTTAATTGAGGATAAATTGACAAGTAGGAAAGGGGCAGGACATTATAAGATGTATCTTCTACCTGCTCCTTTTCGAACAGAAAATATAAAATTTACATGTCACATGGGCAAAATAATTTGTTTTATATTTTCATTCTTAAGTTTGTTTCATTCAATTTTTTTTCTTTCTTGATTGTTTTTACTGTCTGTTCGAAATAAATAAAATAAATAAATAAATGTTTGCTACAGTCTTTTTTATTACACAGAGTTACATGCTGCCAACCAATAAACTGTCAAATCCTATAAATTTGTTGGAACCTATCCTGAAGATACGTTAATCAAATTTAATTGATTACAGGAATGAGTTACTTTTCAGTATCTTAGGTTCTTTTGAAAGACAATGCCTTGTTTTGTATGGTAATTAATCCACATACCCATGATTGAAAGATCTGTAAAATAGTATATTAGCTTTATGACTGAGTTTTCGTTTTACAAATTTTAATACATTAAAAAATGTCATGCATCTACATGCTGTCAATATTTCAAAATGCTGTGGCATCCACACAGAAAATCCACATAGACTGTGCTAACTATTTTATACCTTAGAAAACTGCCAAGGTTGAACTAGCTTGGGAACACTAATGTTAAACTGATTGAAAAAAATATAAATGGTGTCCATTAAAACATAGCGTGACACACTGTGAAACAGAAACCAGGAGAAACTGTAAAGTTTCTAATTTCCTAGAAGCCCCTATGCAATGCAATCCCAGGAGTCCATGGGTGTTTTTCAAAGGCACAGCTTTCAGACAGCTCAACTAATAGTGAGCCTGACATTACTAAAGAAAACTGCAGAAAGAAATACCTCAAGCCTACGATCTGCTCTCTGCAGTAGGTACCCTAACTCCAAATCCTGGAGGTCCGTCTCAAAACCAAGGTAGTTCTCTGTGGAGTCTGCCACCATGGGTCTACAGGCCCCCTGCAGCAAGGCAAATCCCGGGTTACAGCTCCCACATCGGGTGTGGTTGTCTGATGCGCATGTTGCACAGGCCGAGCCTTCTCCAACAGAGCAGGGTGGAGGCAACTGACAGAGGTTGTGTTCATATTTGCAGGTGCAACTATGGAGTTCCTCAGAGAATGTTCCAAGTTGATTGTTCTCTGAACAATACAGGAGAGACTGAAGATATACAAGCCAGTAGGAATGAGGCCTGCAAAAAAAGAGGGGAAAAAAGCAGCATAATGAGATGAGAATATTCTTTCAGCAAGTTTTTTTAAAAAGAGTGAAGCTTTAAAAAACACCTGTCTGGAGTTGGAGAGCGCTGGGTTATAAATTTTAAATATGCAAGCCAGAAATCATTTCACTAATCCTAGTTAAGGTCATATGCAGATCAAAAGTGGCAATAGGCACTAAAAATGAGTCATACATTTAACACTCATTAGTCATGATGTGTTGTTTACCAGGAAAATTCGAAGCCTGCCTTTTTTCTCTATGTATGAGATTCTAATGAATGTTTATGAATTTGGAGTCCTACTTTACTCTATTATACATGGCTAGAATATGAGCACAAAAGTCTTATAAAATGCAACGACAGAGACAGGAGAAAGTTGTCTTTGATCAATTTGTGACATAAATATTAAAAGTGTGCTGTAGGCGAGGGGTGGCTTAGTTTTAGATATGCACACAATTCCCTTTAGTGAGTTTGAGTTTGATTCCCTTCTACTGCAATTTTTCCACTATAATCTCTTTATTCCTTTTAGCTTTTTTCTCAGAATATACAAGAAAAAAGCTACATTGTTTTACAGGAGAAATGCAATGCTTATAAGTTGCGTTGAGCGAAACTTTTCACAAAATTCATATTTGTTAGATAACATTAAAATGATGAAAAAAAAAAAAAAAATATATTATATATATATATATATATATATATATATATATATATATATATATATATATATATATATATATATATATATAATGTAATATGATATTTCATGAAAATATAGTCAATGTTTAGAAAGTCTCAGTTTTGAGTAAAATGTTAACATACATATTTACAGTGAAATTAACCAAAATCACTTTTTTTCTCAATGGTGGACCTGTGGGTAAGGCAAAAGCTTTAACTAATGTATGATAAAAACATAAATAGGTCCTGGTGGTGCCTGTGTAAGGCAGCCTTGCTTCTATCAGTGAGACAGGGCAAGTGCGGCTGCAATGTAGCTTGCCATCCTCCATGTGTAAGTGGGTGCGTTAATGACTAAGTTATGTAAACCTTTGGTCAAGTCTCCTGACTTGACAAAAAGCTATATAAGTACAGGCCATTTACTGTACCATTTACATACTAGACTAAAATTCACAGTATATGCATTGGAAAAGTGTTGGGACTAGGATTTAATTATACAATACCTCTTCTTACTCTGTTTACTCAACTTTGATGTCAATTCATAAAACACACATCGATCAACTGATTCATTAACCTAAATTCACCTGTTTTTTTTTTTTTTTTAATACCAAGAAGACCTGGAAGAGCACATGGAAATACTATATTTGCTGCTGTTGTACAAGTGACAGTCTGCTGCAAAATCCTAAGGTTTATTCTGCTCTTCATAAACTAATAGTCAACCAAATAAAAAAAACATAAACATGGTCTAGCCAAGAAAATAAAAATAAAAGCGGTAAAACCTATAGTCCCTTTGAAAGTGTGGATCACTATTACTATTTTGTACCGTGTGTGAATCTTCTAACACTGAGAAATGCTGAAATGTTAAAATGGCAAAGCAGCTGGGCTGGGGGGTCAATGCAGGTTTCCCTCCATCTCTCTCAGGATTTCTTTTATTTTTTTTTAAATTGAAGGAGAAATGCCATCTTTGTACGGCATGTAAAGGCAATTATTATTGATCATTACATCTCATCCCATCCCTTTAAAATATCCTACCTTTCCCTTTAAATGTACTAATCTATTATTTGTCTGGAAACTTTATGAATAGTTTCTCAATTTTATTACTTTCTATAGAAATTTAAGATTCTGGAAACTTCACAATTTTACTGCATCCCTGTCTCTGCCCACGTCTGCTGGTTTTTAGACTCTGCTCTACCGATACGTTTCATTTTCAGAAAGGGATTTACTGTGTTTCCTGTTACCTGCATATTTTTTTCCAATTATTTATCCCTGCAATTATGTCTTTTCCTCTTGTAGTTGACAGCTTGTCAGTTTCTTCTTGCTGTACACAACAGTGTTTTTGTCAATTTTGCTTGTGTCCTCCTTTTCAGTCTTCTTGCCACTGCTTTGTTTAATGATGATGGTTCCAGATTCGGGATTCTGCCTCAGTTTAGGATTTTTTTTTTTTTTTACAATTTTCACTTTTCAGCTTTCACTCTTTCATACGTACCTTTACTTTTTTTTATCTCAGCACACAGCTTTTAAATGTTAAATGTTCAGGTGAAGAGAAAGTAATTGACAGAAATTCCTTCTTGAAATGATTTTAAATGTCCCTTTTACTCCATAAAAGACAAAGTAAAAATAATTCTAAACATCTGTTAAATTGGAAATATAAATCTATTACTAAAATAATGTTTTAAAACTAATTATGTGTTTCTAAGTAAAAACCTTGATCTTACTTGAGTAGTTGAGACATCACCAAATCAAGTAGACTTGAAATCAACAGATGAATTTCATTTTCAATCAGCCTTGTTTAAACTATGAATGAATATTCCAACAAGAGACTACTAAACTTCAAATTATAGAGGGCGTCAAATATCCACTCAGAAATTTAAACAGAGTATATGATATGGAGCCTAGGTGGAAGTTCAACAGAAGAAGCTCATTGCTTTCCTTCATCCGCCTGCGACACAGCCAATCAGCTTTGAACACGAAAGCCAATCGGCATCCAAAGTTCACCTTAAAAGGCCTCCGATACACACCTGTCTGCTCCTGTGTGCAGGCGGCGGATGTGCATTGACACCGTTTCAACCCACCTCCAGCCCCTCCTCCACCATCGTAGCTAAAGCTTCATCAGAGTGTCATTCCCCTCTGTCTCTTACTGTGTTCTCTGTCTCATCTTAACCGGTCCGGCAGAAGACCGCCATTTTGAGCCTGGTTCTGCCAGAGGTTTCTTCCCAACAGGGAATTTTTCCTCTCCGCTGTTGCTTCATCCTTGCTGATCATGGACAGGTTCTCTCAACCTGTGTTATCCAACTGGACTTCCATCTTCCAGGTCCCTAAGTGAAGCTCTAGTATCAGCTCACGCAATCCACTGGATCTCCTCATAAAGCTCAGCATACCGTCTCGCTAACCAGCAGTCTACAGACTGACCAACTTCATCTATCTCCACTCCACCACCACTTTAAGGCCTGGGGGGGAAACAGCCCTGTTCTTTGCTCCTGTTCGTGCATATCTATCAAAATTAAGGGCTATGTTTCCTGCCGAGGTCTGAGCGCCAAAGACAAAGTAATTGTATCAATTCATTTCTCCTAATTGTGTTTTCTCTTTGTGTGAGTTTTTCAGGTTTAAATTTCGTTTTCCCCTATAGCAAGTTCTGTTTCTTTCCTAGGCTTAGCTATGGGCTCAGGTTTAACTGTAAGTAACAGTGTTTACTCTTTTCATCCTTTTGACATGAAAACTTCTTTATCCCTCGACAGAGCCACAGATTAAGCTAGTTTACCATTATATTCTAACATAGAAAGTATGGGTCAGTGTTTCTATGATCCTTCTGTAAGTCTGCTTCTCTCTCCATGAACCCAAGTTGGCCTTGACAGAAGACCGCTCTCACCGAGCCTCAGTTTGCTTGAGGTTACTTTGCTTTAAAGAGATTATTTCCCTTCCACTGTCACTTCATCCATGGTCGTGTGAGGGATTACTGTAGAGTGAACAACAAAATACAAGTGAATATCTACTGTTGCCAGATACTCATACTGGAGAAGTATGTTCTACAAGTCATAACTTGATGCACTCAACTAGTTTTCCTTAGATAGAACGTTTTTCATCTAAAGGACTATATCACCTGACAGAAGGTGTTGTGAACTGGTGACATATAAATAAACAAAACTGCATCAAATTTTATATGACAGAAATAAACTTGAAAACACAAAATTATGAAGCAGAAAGAAACTGAGACATGGATTTTAAAGGTTGTAAAACCATCTGACCACATAACTTAACAAAATGCCCATGCTTACAAAGAATTAGTTATCTACAGGTCTGTGGGATAATTGATTCATTTATCAAATCTTGATGGTAATAGGCAGGGTTCTCTCAGAGAGCTCCAATCATAGTCTTAAAATTCCTACCTAGTTAAGAGGGATTAAGATAGTTGCTGAGAGCAACTTAACGCAAAGAGGCAACAGAAATCTTTATCTTAGTGAATTGGTGTCTTTAACCGCCAATAGAATTTAGACATGAATTAAAAATGTGCCTCAGGACAGAATAAATTCAGCAAAATTGTCATGCAACATCATGTTTGAAATTCCCTTATCTCTATCCTCATAACTATTTAAATTTGCATATTGTTAGTATATTTACTAACAATGCTGGTAATTTTACTGCTGATCATTAATGTTAATGTAGACTCAGCTGTAGACATTTTACTATCATTTGGTGCTTAAAGCAAAGTGGTTCTAGTTGGAATAATGATCATCATAAAATAAATTTAAAAAGTATAGAACACCAGAAGTATTGACTCTGTCCACATAGCCCTGGGAAGAAAATAAAAGATTGTTGAAAGGTAAATTGGTTCCGGGATTAAGGTGCGAAGACGCAGACTTTGAGCCACATTTCTGAGCAGATGTGTCTGTTTCTCTGCCTCTGTGCACCAGCCTGGAAAGTGAGAAGTGCTATGTGCAGCATCACATGGCATCAAACAAGTACATTTCTAGATTTCAATTTAGGTTATGGATACTGACATAATGAGGCATTTTGCTCTGCTGTTGGCCTCCTCTCCAATTGCTGCAAATTCTTCCTCTCTCCAAGACATTCCCACAGGGACATGAGCTGTTGTTTAAAAAGCTAAAAAAAATAAGGGTTCATGTGTTTCTTTGTATGCTCATCTAATTTGATTAACAAAATATGACCAGAGAGTAATTTAAAGATGAATCCCTTCATGTCTGCAAGCTACTGGCTCAATCATAGCAGGTTAAGAAACAATTAAACTAAAGGTTATTACTTTTTGATTAAGCAAATCATTCAATAAAATATTATTTTACCAAAAAAATGTT